ATATATATACATATATAAAAATTTGAACAAATGGTGTTTTTGGCCTCTGGGGACATCAAAATGAAAAAGTAAATCGGTCCCGGGTCTAGGTCTTACCGTGCTACCTACGGTAATAGCTACTTCCCTATAGGGAAATTCGCTAAAAATGAAATAATTTTACAATTATGTTAAATAAAACAATTCAGCCTTCGTAAATCAGCATAGAACACCGTAACTAGGTCGTCCAATTATATCTGGGAAATCTCTGACAATGTTGAATAAGTTAACAAGAGCGAATGCGATTTTAATATTCAAAGACTCTGACTGTACAGTCTTCTCTCATGAATTACTATAAGAACAAATAACAGTTTTTTTTTCATCAAGGTAGGTAAATCATAGTTTTAAAAATACGAAAAATATATACTTTTTGAATTCTTTTTAATAATAATTACACTCTTCTTTTAATAAGTTAACTTTGTCGTATCAAGCGGTGTGTGTCAAGTTATTATAAGATAAGTAATCAAATTGACTTACTTCTTAAATGTGTACGAACACCCTAAAGAGTCAACGAGAGCCGAGTTAAAAGAATATTTTTATTTTGTAATAGCGAAAGCCTTAGGATCGTCATCATTAACCAGCTTTACAAACTGAAGTGCTGATGGTTTAATATTGAATGCTTCCTCCAACCCAGTGTGTAGTGTCACCTCTGGACGGGGATTTAATATTTAAATACACTTCAACACGTAGACTGCCTTGAGTCGCTGCGTTTACGTGAAAGTTTATATTTGGAATTTATAAAAAAATAATCAGTTTAAACGTATTTTTAGAAGGATAACAAAAATGTATGATCGTGTAAAATACTTGTACAAGACTTATATAATTGTGAAAATATATTTAATAACCTACTTTTCTGATATTGGTTTGTAAAACCGTAAACTTCTTTTATTAGGCAACGCTGATTCACAATTGGAGCAATTTACAAATGACACCACTCAGAAGACAATGAGGGAGCGAGAGAGTGCGAGTAAAGCGACATTAAGCAGCTCTTGCAGCCCCAATTGCAAACCCATTTTGAAAATTAGTCGAGGAGAGGCTTAAGATCGCATCCACCGTAGAATAGCCTCGGGTGGCTGAAAAATACTGTGGTAGAAACGCTCGCTCAGTCATTATTCGAGGAAGGACTATGAGAAGATAAAAGTGGATTGAATAATTGTGAGCATATTTCAATTAGTGTACAATGACAAGTGATCGTTTGTAAAAAAATAGTTGATAATTTGCAACTATTTTAATAACACGTTAAAAGACATATGTACGCTCTACTACAACAGTTTGCCGTTTTAACACGATTATTTTCAGTGGTAAAATCAAAATGTAACCTGTATTTTATACTTTATACATGACGAATGAACATTGTTTCGTGTTGCATTTCGTTCACATTGTTAACCAAACTGTACATTTTTCATTTGTTGAAAATATCGTCATTTTCAGTTTTTGACCAAGCGATTAGATAATCTCTAATGACGACATAGGCCAAATACTAGGAAACGTTTCAATGTGTCGCTAAAAATATCTAGGGATGCATGGTTGTAGAGTACCCCGGTTTTATGAAGCGAGTAAGTAAGCAGGGACTTATTATAGAGTGCCAAACCCTTGCTGGATATTTTTGATACTTTCATCTTGTCATAACAGACAGCCTCTTTCATGAGGGGAGAACATTGACAGCTCAGGTTTATAAAAATATCTCCCGACCCTCGACAAAACAAGCTGTGAAGTTATAAGTATGCTTGTCACGGTGTGAAGATCTGTCGTAGTCCTTATATAATATTATGCAATACTCTGGGTAGCTTATAGTACTCAGTTATCAGAAGGTGGCCGTTTCAACCTTAAAGCAAAGTCGGAATCTTTTTGTTTGTTCGAAACTGGATCCAGTTGTTCCTGATCATTGGGCTTTAAATAAACGATCCTGGCTAATGAAACAGCTGATCTTGATCACTGTGGGTTGGTCCTAACTACAGAACAAGCTCATCTTTAGTCAGTGACAAAGTTGTAATCTCATTTAACCAACAATCATCCTTCACGATTCGTCATCTCTAAAACAATGCACGCTGGTGTGTCGACGTCTGATCCTTAGGGCTGTCGAAGAAAGGTCAAACATGGCTGTGAGAAACGTGCTAATGTAGAATTTGTATGTATCAACAACCATACCTTTAAAGGTTTATACAATATTTGGATAAACTAAGGAAAGTGGTAAATGGTTTTCAACAGTACTGACCTATAAACAAGTTCAGATTGTTACTAAATACAATTAGGTACTTGACTTGATTAAATGAAGAGATGCTGCGAGGTCCAGCTTTTCCTTGAATGAGACAACTGCACTTCAGTTCTTTTTCAGCAGGTTTAATTCCCTTGTAAACTTAAGTTGTGATTATGAGTGTGTGTGGTGTATCCCACATGGTCATAGTTCAGTTGACCGCCAACCTAGGTCGAGACTCTCTCAGCGGAATGCGGGGAGTCCCGCTACAAACCCGCTCTACAAAGTCACACTCGGGTTTGATTGTGCCGCCAGCCTCCCACCATTGTTCTTATCGCTCAATCGGCCACCCAGCTGAATAACCTGGTGACCTTGACCCCTAGATGGTCCTGTTGTTGTGGTTAACAGAAGGTGAACAGAGGTTACAGGAGCGATGTGGGTGAGCAGGTTAACAACGCGGGAGGAGGCTCAATCAGTTAAGAGCGACCACCTTCATGAAGGCCCAGGAACCCGGCTTATATCCCATCTGAAGCAGTGCACTTATCAGTTAAACCAGACAATGGCGTTATGTTAGAAGTATGTCGGCATTTTTTAAAGCCAAAGTATGCAGATGTACATGATGAACATTTCCGTAGAAAAACTCAGTCACAGACAACAGAAACCAAGTATTATATTGCCTGTGACTCAGTACTGTAGCAACGTACTCCTTCATTATATTTTGTTAAATTACACACCAGAATTTGCATACTGTTTTTTATCGTGCCTCTTTTTATTTTTTAAAATATTTTATTGTTAGTTTAAATACATTACATTACATGTATTAAGGTAAGTGCTACTCAGTGTATCAGGTATAACCTACATTACTACTCATCAGCATTTACTATCCGTAAAAACGGTGAAGTTTTTTAAATGCAGCTTAACCAAAACAACATTTCAGTACCTATCCAAAACAGTCTGTCGTCATGCATCTAACAAAAATAACATATCAAATACTATCTACATTCAAACTCTAATTTCATCCATCCAAAGCATCGCTAAGTTAGTTCCATGGTTCCAGTCTACTAGCTCTGGCATCTAGTAATTTCAACATCACCTCAACCAAACATAAAGCCCGCTCTATTCTTGGCTGTGAACTCACAAGGAACAGTCCCCACACAAATATACACACAAGTGTACCACTAAACAGTCAAGTGGTCTCTCGGAGCAATCCAAGCTGATAGCGGCGTTCCCCAGGGTTGTGTGCTGGGACCGCGTTTCTTTTTGAAAACTAAAAAGACTATTGCGCTGCTATCTTGAACTCTCAGCTTAAAAGTACCCATTCAACTACTAAAAGAGTATGTTTGCTGTTTTCACACACACACCGTTAGATATTCACAATTCCTCGGTTGATCACACCTACGATGTATTAAATTCAACTGAACATTTAGCTTCAAAGTAGTATAATTGACTTCAAGATAATAAAGTAGACAATCCAAATGGGCCAGCCGTAGCCGATTTGTTTCAGATGGAAAGTACAGTAGTGGAATGAACTCTAGAGTGTGCTAAATTCTATTATGTTTTGTTATTTTCGCTACGGACGATAAATAGTATTATGTTGTAAAAGATGCGATATACAATAAATTTATCAGGTTAAATAGTTGCTGAATACAGAAATCGCTAACTGACATTAGTGCACTCTATCTTTTAGCACCTTTTTTTTTTATTAGCATTTTGTTGGATTAGCTTTCTTTCTCGACTTTTAATATTTGAATTTGACTCCTACAGTATGTATCTAGGAATCATCATGCCACTAATTTCGACTACTGGCATAATACAGCTATATGACATCTTTCAAGGGGCTTCACTCGCGTTAGCCACTTCTCACTACTGTATATGGTATGGTAGGGTGGGTTACTATACGGGGTGTTCCAGACGGCTGGCTCTAGCTTACTCCGTGCTCTAGGGAAGTCTGACAAGCCTCCCCATTGTTGTCGGCTTCCGTTTCCTGCGTATCAGCCGTAATCGCCACCGGAACTACTGCCGTGGCGGGAACAACGGTGCCTAGCGTGGCTGAGTGGTAATAATGGCGGGAAAACGGGGAGACGTTGAATTGGAAGTGGGTTGATTGTGAGGAATTCAGAGCTAAGTACAGTAGTTGTATTGGTGAGAAGGTAATGATGGAAAATATCTGAAAGATTTTAGAGTAATCGTGCTAATTGTGGAGAATTATTGAAAATTGAAGGTAGGAGTCAATTTAGCTTATTTTTACTTATTTCACACGATAATTAAACCGAGTTATCAATGGGTCTTCTCAAATACGTCAAATTTGTGACACAGACGAGTATTTTTATAAATGTTTGCAAACCCAATAATATGATTTAAAATAATGCCTTCCCTTCAAGCAAATTTCTTCATCAACACATAACGACTATAATATTTAACCACAGGATATATATGAAACTATATTTATGCCTATCTCAATGTCGCTGTAAATAGATTTATTTGTATATTTCCCCGTTAATATGTCCACTATTGATTTTGATCAGAGCACCTGTTATAACCTAATATAACATGAAAAACATATATTTTTTGCCAGATGAATGTATTATTTTCACCACACCGTCTAGAAGTGAACCTAGACAGATTACTACGACACGTGTAAGTCTGAGGCAACCATCTGAATGGTGTGAGAGTGATAGAGAAAAGGAGTGAGCAATTGAGGGGACGAGAGGAGAGGGGCATTTGATTTGACACAGTAGTTGCGACATCTAGGTTGTTGGCGTAATCAGCCATGGTCCGTAGTACGGTGGTACGGTGTGGATCAAGCAGAAGCATTAACGCTTGGGGTGACACCAGAAACGAAAGTTATTGTTCATGATTAGATAGTTTTATTTGCTTAAACGAGGTTTTAAATACTATCCTAGCGTGTCGATATAGAACTAATAACAATAAAACAGTTTTCTACTGATCCATAATTATGACAATCTACTAAGGAAGTACGTTTTAACTATAGGCATACAACAGTTACAACTTATAACGAGCTACGTAACAGTTGTTCTACATTATACTCGATTAAGTCGAAGCAAACAATAAACAAAGCCAGTAAACAAATGTTGTTTGTTTACCGGAGCTGTTTGTTTATCCCTCTGTAGGATCTCGTGTGTAGGGTGGGAAATTAAGGTACTTCTCCGATATAAGACTGAACAACATCAGGCAATCATGATAGTATGCGTTGGTTAAAATCAAGGACGGATATACACATTCACAACTCATTACTTATCTGTGACTACTCCATAAACATTAAACAGTTTTAACAAGTCGTAAGCTGATGTAACAATGTGGTATACGAGTGTATACTGTGTGCTAGCACTCCGTGATCATTGGACATATAATAAACTGTACTAAAGAAACAGTAGTTAATCAGTCAGTAACAAATCTGTCACATCACTCATTATTCACTCATCGCTCACTCATCCTTCACCCATCCTTCACTCATCCTTCACTCTACTCATCCTTCACTCTACTCATCCTTCACTCATCATTCACTCATCATTCACTCATCGCTCACTCATCCTACACCCATCGCTCACTCATCCTTCACTCATCCTTCACCCATCGCTCACTCTTCCTTCACTCATCCTTCACTCATCGCTCACTCATCCTTCACTCATAGCTCACTCATCCTTCACCCATCGCTCACTCATCCTTCACCCATCGCTCACTCATCCTTCACTTCACTCATCGCTCACTCATCCTTCACCCATCGCTCACTCATCCTTCACTCATCACTCACACATCCTTCACCCATCGCTCACTCTTCCTTCACTCATCGCTCACTCATCCTTCACCCATCGCTCACTCATCCTTCAATCATCGCTCACTCATCCTTCACTCATCGCTCACTCATCCTTCACCCATCGCTCACTCATCCTTCACTCATCACTCACTCATCCTTCACCCATCGCTCACTCATCCTTCACTCATCACTCACTCATCCTTCACCCATCGCTCACTCATCCTTCACTCATCGCTCACTCATCCTTCACCCATCGCTCACTCATCCTTCACCCATCGCTCACTCATCCTTCACCCATCGCTCACTCATCCTTCACTTCACTCATCGCTCACTCATCATTCACTCATCGCTCACTCATCCTTCACTCATCGCTCACCTTCGCCTCATAACAAGCACCCTGATGTGAAGGCGTCGTAAAAATCCAATCCAATCCATGAAACATTCGGCTTGTTTTACTTTATTTTGAATTTATAACTTTATTAGAAAGAGTACACATATTTTAAAGTGACTTTCTTTGCGACTTCAGGTGATGAATGAAATAATGAATGAACAGGCGATTTCAAAAACTATGTGGTATTATATACTTTTGGACAGGCCTACAGTCTCCCCATATTGACCAACTATCGCCATACTGTATTGATAATTTGTATAGACGTTTGTTTTTGCTGCATTTCCTAGAAATACACCATTTGCAATGATGAGTTAGGTTGGTTAAGATTAGGTAACCTGTTTAATCCGATCATATTGATAAATTTGAACCAAATTAAATAAAAATTATGATTTTTCTACTCGTCCTGGAAGTGTGTCATTTGAATTAAAAGGGCGGGTCAGGTTAGATGTGTTGAGATTGGGATACCAATGTAATCCTAATGTTCAAATTTAACCAATACCTAAGTTAAAAACAATCATTCCGAGCTGGAGTAGAATTGGAGAATTTTTGTGACTTGTGTTAGTGGGAATTCTATCAACATTGCAAATAAAATTTACCTCACCATGGATGGTAAATGATTGCTCTGAAAAACTAATAAGTAGGGATTTAAAACAATTGACTTTTGTAAAGTGTATAATATTGCCCCTATCGTCGTGGAGGAAGTATAGGGCCTCATTGGGGAAGAGTTGTTGCTGGAGAAATATTATATTGTGTAGAACACTAATAATAAGTAGGTAGTTTAAAAAGGTCAATGTGTAAGAAATTTATCTCCATTGTTATGACAAGGAAGGGGTTTCCAATTTGTTTGTAGGATGTTAAAATTAGAAATGTACGATTAAAACTTATCTCAGTGAAGTGTTGTATTGTTGTACCAAATGCCGGATATGGCGTTCCCAGGCACAGCAAATCATGCTGGAAATAGATAATTAACCTTCCCTTAAGCAAGCATGTGAAGAGAAATTATTTATAACGTATTTGAACTCTCAACCAATGAGGAAGTTTTCAACTTGACGAGAACAAACAACTTGTAAGTTTGAAACTTCCCGGAACTTGACGGAAAGTTTGCAAGTCATTTTCGTTTTATGCACCATGGAACCCACCCTTTTTATACACGTGAATTGTGGTTACTAAATAATTTATCTTAAAATAAACGAGACCGCATTATCAAATGCAGTTAAACATAGTGTTTAAACAAAGGTTTAACCCAACATTTTTTGTCTGAAGATGAATAAAATATTCGAGCAAAATATTCGTATCACATTGCACAAAAGATTACGTAAACCAAAGTAACTGATAGAAATATTCATGTATGCTCTGCAGTCTGCTTTGATATCGTAGTTTACAACACCTTATTGAAATTGTGGTAACTATCTAATGTTCATCCGAAAATAATCCAACCACATCAGCGACCGTTGTCTGTGAAAAATGTTTGGGAGATAAAATGGCAACGATCCAAAGCCAATAAGCTCTGTATTTAACTAGCCTTCGCTTAGGTGTTGAAACTGTCCCATTTTGTTTTGCCCGAATTATTGAAAAAGGTTTGCCAGCTTTTATATAACCAATAACCTAAATAATAAATTATTATTAGTAGACCACTGTGAAAAATTAATTAGCAGTAGATGGGATATCGTTTTCCCAATAGGCCTACTGTAGCTGTGTTTGGAAAACGTCTTTTGCTGAAATAGTTGTAGGAGGTGTAGGGGTTTATACACTGAGTATTTATCTTTTATAGTAAACGAGTAAACCCCACTCTAGCATGTCACATTGCATAAAAGCTAAATAGCTTAAAATACCCTGATTGAAAAATAATAATTTTAATACATTTTAATAATTAAACACGTTAAAAATGACGCAAATAAAATGCACGATTTTCAATTGAATTGTAGCCCTAGCATTGACATTGAATAGTGCAAGTAGACTACTTCTTCTCTTGAACAATCTTAAGCTTGTTACGTGTGTTTCTTGTAGCTATGCGTCGTTCGAGTTCGTAATTTTTTTTCTCTGTTTGAGATTTTACGATTTGTGCTTTTATATTTGTTTTCAAACCACATAAATAAATGGCATTATTTTATTAAGTAGTTTTAAAACCAGTCAAAAAACAACAAACAAAAATTAGAAAAAAACGCCCTTTACATAAACCGGATTTAGCATTGAAGTTTGCTTCAGCTTATTTATAAAATTATACAGATGAAATATATTTTTGTATTCTTGCTTCTAGATAGCGCATGATTGTGTGTGCATTCAATCGATGGTTGAAGTTACCTTAACTTTTCAATTATTAAAAACATATCACTGATGTTAAGGAATTTATTTTAACTAACAGTTACCCACGGGCTTCACCCCGTTTGACTTCATAAATATTATTAAAACTATTCATTAACTAAATAAACAAAACAGAATGGAGTAATACAAACAAATAATCACACCTGATTTTAATAAGGTAATAAATTGAAAGAAAAACAAAAAATAAGTACATCTGAGGTATTTTTAACATTAGGTATATTAAAGTTCCCTTTAGAAAGGAATTACGACCTTCAAGGGAAATTTATGAAATAATGTATAGTTTTGCGCAAGGTTTCTCGTCATTACGAACATTTTAAGTATATGGTTTATGGGGGTGTGTCTTGTAGTTTTCTCAAAAGTTCATGGGGACTTTAGGATTTATATATGGACGTGATATCTGGCAGGAAGACGTATTTACGTTTTTATGCGGCTGAACCCCAAACTCCACTGAACATAAACACTACCAAACAAGCACATAAATCATACTAAAGTAGGCCTGCCCCATAAAGGGCAATGAGTTATGCAGTTAACACTGTTACATGTGAAACAAACACTCTACACACGTAATGGATGTCTTGAGGATTTGTAAAATATGACACAAACATACATTGAGTAGTGAGAATTTTTCTTGCTGCGGTTTAGTTTGTCATAAAAAATTGCTAAACGATTACCAGCAACCACACGTTTAACTTTTATAGTCGGTTTCATATGTATTAGTATTTAGATGCAATAAACATTTACAATCTATAATCATTGGCGGAAATATCCCTAATATTTAGTAAATATTTTACTGGATTGTAATGTAAATATTAGCCTGCAGTTTCTGATGGTTTTTAAACATCAAACTATTAAGGAACGAGTGCTAGATTTACGACAATTATAAAACGATTAAATAAAGATATTTATACAATTATTCTTCTTAAAATTTCATTTCATTCTAATAGTCATGTTTCTTACTCTAGGGGCTTCCCCGATCATGTATGTATTAACTTTGAAAATGATTGCTACAAATTGGCCATCCGGGCGTTACCAAATATGTTCAGGCCGTTAATCCAATACTTGGCTTTCTCTTTCTCCCATTTAAAAATACTACTAGCACTTTTCAGAATAATTATTTACATCAAACATCTCTAAACGTAGCAAATAAAAAAAACACGTGGCTTTTATTGGTGGTACGTTTAAGATTGTTTGCGAAAGTAACAAAAAACTCAAATCGAAGATGAAAAGACAATGAAATGGAAACGGGAATCGTGCAACGCCCCAGTGGTTGCTAGGGAACGCGGGATCGATATATAAACAAGCAGAGGCCTAGCCACTCTTCGACGATCCCCGATCCTACAGGAACATAGCTAGGATCACTAGGGAATAGGGTCTGTGATATTCCCTAAGGGATGGGATTTATAAATTGGCTGGATTCCGTTGGCCAGGGAAATCTAAGCATTCGAATTTTTGTGGAGGTTATTCCATTTGTATTAACTTGGCACAAAAGCTTCCCATGTATACGTTGACGAATGACCCATAAATGGTAGCAAGGGACATTTACGAATTTAATACGGGATTTGTTGCCAATGCTAAGTATGGAAATGTGTGGGTTTGTCAGGAATTTATACATTTTGATTTTGTATAGATCCATAATCCTTCTGTAAAGTACAACACTTATCAATAATTGTGTAAACATGCATCTTTTTATTTTGTATGAGCTCCTAAATTTACAACCGCTTAATCCTTAGTCCAGCATCTATACTTATAAAAGGCAAAGCCTTCACTCACTCACTCACTCATCACTAATTCTCCCACTTCCCATTTACCCAGGAGGCTGAAATTCGGTACACTGATTCTTTGGGAATTAAATAGGAAAACTGAGTAGTTTTCATTCTGATCTGACTTTCGGACTCTGCCCCAGTGGCTCTGGAGTTTCCATTGTTAACCTTATGAGTACTCATATTTAAATTGAATTAAAGAATCCTAATAGCTAGTTCAACTAAACAATTTGATTCTGTGATGTTCAATAGCATTGTTAATAGGTTTACCAAAAGGGTGCAGCACTATTTTTTTTTAAATTTATGTCAACACCTAATTTTGAACCATAAGGTGAGTGAGCGTAGCGAACGAACTTCAACTGGAGGCGAGTTAGCGTAGCGAACGAGCTAAACCTGAAGGCAAGTGAGCGCAGCGAACGAGCTCCATTGTTTATAAAAAAGCCCTTGAATAAATGTTTGAAAGCAAAACTACTTTTTCATTTTTATATAAATTAGGAAATAAACATGACATTAACACAATGTACAATAGATTAGATTGAATGTAATCTTAAGACGTCTTCCTCTAAACGGGTACAATAGTAGTTTATAAACATTAATTTAATTTTATGAACCGGAACGGTTGTTTACAAACCTCACCTAAGAAAATTAGTGACATGAACATAAGTAATTCAATAAACAACAGTACCGGTAACAGAATAAGCATAAATTTCATGAGAAATTACAATAGAAAACTTTACAACACTCTGATTTAAAAATAATTTTAAATAGACAACATAAGCGTAAAGTCAAAAAATAGAAATAAGAGAATACAACATTTATTTTTTTTATATCAAAGCTAGAGAGTAAAAAATCCATTTTAAAGAGAACAAAGGTGTTTCAGAGCTTTTCTTCTAGTAATAAACTGAAGACTGCTGTGGAAGAAATCTACTTGTTGGAAAACATCG